TATTCTTAAATTTAATTTTATCTATAGATTTCCCTCCCTCTCTTTTTTTATTCTTGCTATTGCTATAAAAAATTGTGGAAGAACCAGTTTGACCGCAGTTTCCCGCAATCTGAAATTTGACGGTTGCATTCCTTGGTGCTGTTTTACGTGTTCCTCTGTCTCAGAGACCTCGTGTAAATTGTAGTTACAACTAGACACTCAATCAGATTCAGATTTCTTTCTTTCTTTCTCTTTTAAGTAGTCAACATTTTATATATTTTATGTAAAATTTCTGGTTTGGGCTTCATTGGAAAATTCAGCAGCTCTGGCATTTCCACGTGGCAATAACTGGTCTAGGGCCGGGTGCTGACCACCGCCACTCCCCAGAGTGTGACTCCGATGATCCCGTTGGCTCCAGCTCACATCACTTCCTGCCTGGCTCCTGTGGGCATTGGAAGTCGACACCCCTGTTCTAAACACTGCCTCTTCCTGGGCTTTGGCAGGCTTCTCAACACGGCATCACGAGAGGCCTTTGAGGAATGTGGTGGAGATTAGGGAAAATGATTTGGACAGGCATTTTCCTAAAATGCTGGAAGGGAGAGAGATAAGCAACCACATCAGGGCAGGCCCAGGGATGGAATCTGGTGAGTGTCCAGGATGAGTGAAAGAGAGGAAAAGCAGCACGATACATTGAGTTCACAAGGTGTTGCAAGTGGGGGGGGGGGGGCAGAGCGAGTTGGGGATTCCGGTCCCACAGTGGGAAACAAAGGAAGCAGGCGGGCTTAGGAGAGACAGCGCCTCCGCCTGTTTATATGTTATGATAATACTGAAACCTTAAAAAAGAAAGAGAAGGAGGGAAATAAATCGGCCAATAGTCCTAAGCAGGCAGTGCAGTGTAACAGAAATCGTGGTTATTTTTTTTTTTAATGAGCTAGAAAACAAGGAGAGTCACCTAAAAAGGCCACTGGGAAAGGACCAGGAGCCAGGCTGCGGAGACGTTCGAGAATTGGTAGAAATTTAAGGAGAGAGGAGAGAATCTTGGAAGTCATAGGTTTTTGGTTTTTGTTTTGTGTGTGTGTGTGATTAGCAAACGTATTAAAATGAAAAGTATTATAAAGCTTTAGAAAAAGAAATCACATTTAGTTGTTTTGAAAAGAATAAACCTTTCCAGAAAAGAATAAAATGATGACAAGTTGGGGCGTTTCTGGAAATTTCCATATAGTTCCCCATAGTCAGAAGAATGATTAAGAGAGAGAATCTGCGACTGCTGATGAGGAAGGGTGGAAAATTTTGAAGGACAGGCTGATTATGTAAGGTTTAGCCTGTCATGTTTAAAACTGTTGCCATGATATTTTAGTTATTAATAACAATTTGGGGAACTCTACTCGCTTCTGGAGAAGCATTTAGCTCTAATGAGAAAGAAATACCACTGTTTGTGAATTCCCAAGTGGATGTAAGGAGCCATTCATTTGCTAAGCCTCTTAGGAAAGCCAGAGCAGATTTCGCCCTTAACAAGCTGTTGACAGCTTCTGATCAAGGTACCACCTTGGAACACGTTAGCAGCACAGAAAGTGGACTGTGGAGTCAGACCTGTATTTAAATCCCTTTATGTCACTCACCATGTGACCCTGGCAGCTTACCCATGGAAAATTTCGAGCATATAAAGGTTGCTTTACACACAGAAGCTATGATTCTTACCGCCTGGACTTGAGGAACTTAGAGCTCTGAATATTTGACTTCCAGCACTAACAGCCACAACCACTTACACTTACAGAGCACTTACTATATGCCAGGCACTACTGTAGATGCTTCATGTGTATTATCCCATTTAATCATCAAAAAGCCCTATGAGGTAAGTGTAACACTAAAATTAGCCCCATTTTATAGATGAGGAAGTCAAGACTCAGCGAAGTTTAGTATTTGTCTAAGCTTACATAGTGAATGTAAGTGACAAAGCTGGGCTTCAAACCCAGGCAGTCAGAATCCATAGGCCACATTACTTTGCTCTGCCACTTCCACCTTCCAGTCTCAGGGAAGCACAGAGAGCAGTGCCTGAGGCTCCTAATTCGGGTGCCTCCGCTTTGTTGGAGGTTGGAATGATTTTCAGTTTTCAAAAGCCTCAATGAAAACACATAAACTGGCAATGAGACCACGAGTTTCTTTAGGTTGGAACCCACGATTAACAATGGATTTGTAAAAGCTCTGGTTGGCCGTTACATATAAGAAACATTGCAGGGTCACTTTTTTTTTTAAGTGGGAAGATGAACCATTAGTTAATAAATGCAATTTAGTGTAATAGATCTTTCTAAACATGTGGCCAAGGGAGAGAGAGAACAAAGGGTGTTTGGCCCTGAAGATTCTGGGAGCTGCTAGCCTGCATGTTGCCCAGACTGCCAGCCTCCAAAACCCTGCCTTTATTTTCAAATTTCATGTTCCTTTAATTTGACTTTAGGGTAATAATTTTTCCTTGATTATTTAAAATCAAAAAAGTTTTACTGGTTTTGAATTTAATATTGAAATCTACTTTATTCATCAAAATGATCATTTTCTTAAAACATGGTCAGGAACTGGGATGGAGAATGGCAAGCACGGTACTCCAAGCCGAAAACAGGACGTAAGTCAGCAAAGAGAAGGCTTTCTATCCTAAGTGATCACCTGAATCTATTCTAAAGAAAAAAAATTTTAAAAGACGCAGACTACCAAAACACAGGACACGTCGATGGGTTTTTAAGAACAAGCAAATAAAACCGGTACATTAGGGCACTCAGCTATCAGCTCCTCGACGAGTTTGTGGCAGGCCTCAGTAAACATTTTTCAATACGCAGCCCCTGATCATGGAAGAAAGACCGTAGGAGGCAGTCAGTTAGCCTTTATTTAAGGATGAAAACTGGGCTTTTGGCGTGAAATATGTTTTATACCACGTGCGGAAAATCAGTCTAGGTCCTCGGGACAGCCATGGGAAAGCGCAGGTGACACCCCTATTCCTGAGATAAATTAAAACTGCGCTTGACTTTCTCCGGAACCTGCCTGCCTCAAGTGCGCAGGACTCGGAGGCTGTCTGGGATCCCGGTCCGCGCCCCAGGAACCCTTGTGCCGGCCCAGGCCGCGTTCTGACAGTGACCAGGCGGTGGGGCCGTGGACTCCTAACCGAACTGTCCTTCCGCCGGTTCTAAGTTGTGTTTTTCCTGAAGAAGGTGCAGGCGGAGGCCGCTGTCTGCTTGGTGAGGTCTGGGGCCTCGCAGGGCCGTCGTGGGTGCCCCCGGGTCCCGCCGCTGCTCTCCGGGGGCCTGGTCCTCGGCGCGGCGGGTGCCCTGCAGCACCGGCCCGCGGGGCAGAGGGTCGGGCCGACCTCCAACGGGACGGGCCGCGTCCAGTGCCCCGCGCCGGGGGCGGGCCGGGCTGGCAGAGCCCAGCCGCCGGCGTCCATTTTCTGGGCGGTGCTGCGCGGCGCGGCGGCGGGCCTGGCGGGTCCGGAAGCGCCATGGACCCCCGGGGAAACGCGCTCGCGGCGCCGGAGTCGAACCCCGTAAGTGCCTGTCGCAGGGTCTGAGTGCGCGGCTGGGTGGGCGAGGCGCGGCCCGGCCCGCGGGCGCGGGGCTCCGGGCGCGGCCAGCCTGCCCCCGTGGCTCCCCAGGGGGGAGTACCGAAACCTGGCTGGGGAGCCCTGACGCAGGACTGAGCTCCGCGGGTGCAGGACAGTCGAGCTGCCGCAGGAACCGAGCGGCCGCAGGTGCCCGGGCTCCGGGGCCTACGCCGGAGGGGGAGGGGGTCCAACTGCGGAGTCCGGGCAGGTTGCGCCGCAGTTAGTGGCCCAACTGCGCAGCTGTGCTGGAGGGCTGGGGGCCGGGGGGAAAGGCGCACCCCAGGGACGTTCTGGGCTCAGGTCCACCAGGCTTGGGCATTACCCTGACCGTCGCACCTCCCCACCCCCCAGACTGCGACTCGGACCCCAGATCTGACCCTACGGAAACCTGATGATTTCCCAGGTTCAACACCAAGCCCTTGGAATTGAATGGAAAATGCGAAGGCAGGGCCCTGCCCCCAGGGGGTTGCAATCCCAGCCTCCTACTTCTGCAGTATAGTTAGGACTGCTCAGTTGGTCCAACACAACCGCCCGCTGTTAGCCACTTCTGTGCAGGGTATAGAATAATAACCTTAGGTTTTAGATCATCCGCGATTCCACTTTGTAACTCCTGCTCTGCTGTAGGTAAGTGACTAATTCCATTCTTTGGCCCTAACTGAATATCATTTGTAAGGATTTGTTATAGATGATATGTGTTATGGTGCCTTATACATATTTTAACGGTTAAAGACTTTTATCCTAATTAGGAAGCTCAACTATTCAGCCAGGTTCCCGTGGTTGAAAAGCATAGGAGAATTTAGTGCGTGATTTCAGAGACTCTTCTATTGAGGTGCTGTATCTATGTATAGTATTTTTCCAATGGAGTGGGGACCCATTAGAAGATTGTGAAATCAGTTTAGTGGGACTTTTTAAAAAGATAATAGAATGTGTAATAGAATATAGGAAAGAATCGAATAGAGTAGAAAACATGAGAATGCATTGCACACAGTAACACCGTTTTGATGTTTTCAGATTTTGAGGGGTTGCTTATATAATGTTTGAACACGATGGGTCACTGTCAGAAAGTTTTTAAAGCCCTGACTTACAGGTTAATAATCCAGGCTTTGGAATCTATGGAACCTGGGTTTAAGTCCCAGATCTAACAGAACTAACAGTTGTGTTAGTCCCAGATCTAACAGTTGTGTAACCTTGAGAAATTCCGTGACCTCTGAGAGTCTCTTTTTGTATAGCCGTAAAGTGGGGGACTGTCCCCTGTTTTTGAGGGGTATTATGAGGACCATATGAAGTCCCATATGCCAATCACTTTGCTTAGCACTTGACTTATAGTAGGCGTTCAAAGCACATGCTAATTGTAATTACTGTTGCCGAAACATCAAATCCTGGCAGCTAGTCGTGAAACACTGTGCTTTTTTTTTTTTCTTTTTCTTTTTCTTTTTAGATCTTGATGTGGAAGAGATGGAGGACTCAGAACCGAGGATTTCCAAGTGATTTCTTCCAAAGCACGAGAAACTAACTTTGTTAAGGCTGATCCGTTCTACCTGAGGTAACTGAATTTGCGTGTCTTCTTAGTCCACATGAAAGAGGAAATGGTTTTTCTAAGGAACTGAGGGACTCCCAAGGGGCATATGACTTGTGCCAGCGACCCACCTGGTGTGGAGATTACAAGGTGACAGTGATATTTAAGCAAACTGTAATTAGGGAGACATGGTGTGTGAGGCCCCCGTGATGAAGGGTGGACTAGCCAACGGGGCTCCAGCACAACTGGTTTCCCATTTCAGTTCTGCCAGTGACTGGCGTGGGAGCTTCTGTAAGTCTCTTTATAGACCGCTAGCTTGCCTAGACTGGAAGGACCGACAGACATCACTGAGGCCCAGAGAGTTTAAATGACTCCTCAGTGTGACCCAGTGGGCTGGGATGGAGGCAGGCCTGCAACCTGGATCTCAATTGCTTAGTCATGCAGCCAGCCTCGGGGCCTGCCGTGGGGGAAGCACAGGGCTAGGCACTGAGGACAGAAGCACGAAGAGCCCACCCCCAAGACACTTGCAATTTGTGCAGACAAGTACTAACAAGCCAGTCCACTAAATGCTACCTTTGAGGCATGTACAAAGCCCCAGATGATGATGATAACAACGACCATTTTTCAGGCTCGTGTGTGTGTGAGGCAGTGTGTTATAGGATTAAGGGTTATATTTTTATTCGTCCCAACACCCCAGTGAGGGAAGGAAAAATAGATGTGAAGTATTGAATGGTGAAGAGGCACAGTCATCTCATATTGCATTTATGGTGCACATTCTTCTAGACGCAAAGCACAGTGCTAGGACCAGAAAGTGCAAGGTAAAATGCTCGCTCTGGAGCAGCTTGCAACCTAAACTGCAAAGAGACATAGTCAGATGGGCAGTGCCTGACATTCACCCCGCCCCCTTCGCCCGCTTCTCCGGCAGCCACTGTGGGATCTGTCACAGAAAGAGTTGACATATCACAGTTCTTGCCCTTCAGTGCACTTTTCCCCCTTTTTTCCAGTTTAACATAGTCTTCCATCCGTCTGTGAAAACTCCTACTTTCCATTTACACACAGTAGGGAGGACTTCTCTGAATTTATCTGTTTATTTGTTCCTTCAACAAATGTATATCGAGCTCTTACAAGGCACTTGGGCATTCAAGCCCAAACATAGAGAGCACCACGTTTTTACCGTCGTGATATTAGTCATACTCAGTCTTTTAGCGAAGGATCAGCACTGTGCAGCAGACACAGATTGTCCGTTGTTCACCAGCTCTGGGGCGCGGGAGACTGACCGTAAATAGGATTCCAACTGGATGTATGGGAAATTTTTTTAATATTAAAATCTTCAGAAAGGAACTTCTTCCCTTTTAAGTTTTGCTTTTGTCATTACTGTCATCTGCTTTTAGAGGCCTTTTATTTGCACGCTTAACCTGTAGGCAGAGGGAAAAACCAGTTTGGCAAGTGGACTTTCTTTGACTCAAAATGCTCTCTTTTTTTTAGCTTTGGAGGCCACATAGTACTATGAGTGTTTAGAGTAAAGTAACTTAAGATATACTTTAATTTAAAGGTACAAAGTTAGAAACAGTGCCAATAAGTGCATTTAGCAACATAAATCAGATTGTGACTCTTGAATGCTACTTATAATAAACTTAAGCTCCAAAGAGAACAAATGAAATGTTGAACATAAATGTGCTTTGCAGACTTTTAGAGGAGTCCTATAAATGTCACGTGGCGAGTGTTTATTGAGTAACTACTACGAGTGTGACCCTGTGCCTGACAGAACGGAGAACCCAGCAGGGACAGACCTGGTCTCTTCCCTCTTGGGCCCTGTTTTGTAGGTGAGGAAATAAAATACGCAGAAATCGCTGTGGTGAATGCTAAAAAAAAGATATTTTGGTAATTTGAAGGAAAAGTTTCCCTTTTCCTCTAGGAGCAGATGGACTTTTTTTTGGGGGTGGGTGGGAATCATTTAAAGCAGTCCCTGAAGGATGCAGGGTTTCCATTAAAGAGTGGAGGAGAGGGCATTTGAGATACGAGAAGTAGCAGAACAGGAAAGCATGGAGATTATTCAGAAAAAGGCGGTGAGTCCAGCTGAGTTAGAACTGGTCTGTACAGGCATTGTACAGAGTGGGAAATAGAACTGGAGAACATTTAGTGCTGAGTAATACTGGTCTTGAATGTCAAGCTGGGAAATATGAATGTATGACCCAGTAGGAGACATTGAAGGTATTTGGACACGGGAGTGTCTTGGCTGCAGGTGAGGAGTATGCTTCTGGGGAGATGGGGAGGAGAGGCGGAGCAGAAGCCAGCGACAGGGAGACCAGTGCCACCAAGGAGAACGGTGGGGGGGGGAGTATCGAAATGGGTGATATCAGTGAAATGCGAAAGGAACAGATGCAAAGGGAGGAGCCAACAAAACCTGACATCTCAGTAGAGAAGGAACAGCTAACGCTCACGCAGATTTCCAGAGCAGTGGCGCCCGTGAAAGAAGCAGCCTGGGAGCTGGTGAGGGGCTGCCTGGTAGAGGCTCTGAGTTTGGAGTGTTGAAGTATGACATCCCCCACACAGGCGGGGGCTTTGTGCTCCCGAGGACAGCCGGGGCTGCTTTTGAAGTCATTGGGATATAAATAAGTCAGGAGGGAAGAGAAGAAATTCTCCTCAAAGAGAATGTAGGGCGGCATGGGGCCTTATGAAAAAAGAGAGGACCTGGGGGGAGTCTAGAAGTTTTGGCAAAAGAGCAAGGAAGAAACCATAAGAGAGCAGGACTCCAGGAGCCAGCAGAAGGGGGTTCCCCTGTGGAGGGACACTGGAGTGTCAGGTGCTGGAGGGGCAGGGGAGGCCCAGGATGGGCCTTAGATTGACCAGTGGCAGATCACGCGTGTGGTTGGTGGCCCTTTCCTTTGTAAGGTAATAGGACTTGCAGAAGGAATGTTAAGACGTTTCATTTGCAAAAATGTGTAGCTTGTGCAAATCAAGAATCACTGTTAAGTCTGACCCTAGTGAGCCTCAAAACACACTTCTGACGACTAAAATTCAGGCTGTTAAGTGTAGTTTTGCTAGTACTCATCCCCTTCATTCTGTTGTCGGCAGACAGACCAAAGAATATTCGCCAGCACTGTAAGTTCTTTAAAAACTACATTTCTGTTGATGCAAAAGGTTTCTAAAAGTAATTTAATTCACTTGCCTCTTTACCGTACGGCTGTCTATGACGCACGAGTGTGTTTTCATAGGCACATGAGCTTTGCACAATGGAATGAGAAGACGGGGTCAGATAAATCCAGTTTCACAACCGCGCTGGGCCCTTTTCCAGGCTTGTGACTTCAGTAAAGTCACTCTCAGTCTAAGCCTAACTTTTTCCATCCATAACTCAAATAGGATCATTTTGAAGATTGAGTAATATATAATTTGGTCAAGGTCCACACCGTACATCGTAGGCAATTAACGAGTGTTGATTCCCTTCCCCTGACCGCCTTGTATGGGTATGTAAATTTCTACGTGATGTGCAGCTATATACACAGCATTATCTTTATGACTCATGTTAATGTGTTCGTTTTATAATAGAAAGAGCCTAAATCCCACTGTAGCTAGTCTATCCTGTGGTAGTTCAAGTGACTTGCATTTAACATGGATAAGAATCAACCCGGTGCAGAAAGTCTAATCCAGCAGATTTAAGGTGGGGCCCCCAGGGCTCTTCATTTTGAACGATCACTGCTGTGATGAAGACCAACACCAGTCAACAGCTAGGAAGAGATAAACTTGTGGCTTGATATGCTGGTTTCAAGGCCAGTTTCTATAAGAGACATGTCTATGCTCAACAGTTTCATATTTATATCACTGATGTTTATGGATTATAGTTGTAATAAGATAAAAACAAATGAATCCCAGGTGATGGAGGAATGGTGGCCTCTCCGCGTCCACCTTCACTGCAGATCCGTAGCAGTGCTGGGCCACACGCAGCCCACACCTCAGCTGCTTTTCCTATGGAGCGAGTGCTGAGACCTGCCCCCACTGTGCTCAGAGCTTGCAAAACTGTTGTAACTGTAAATGTTATTATCAGTAGTCCCTTTAATGGCAGCGACATTGTGGGGCCACGCCATTAAAACGTTTTAATGCGTTTATCTGTCTGACTCTGTGTCTTCTGGATGATAAACGTCTGTCGTTATATTGTATTTCTCTCGCTCTCTGAATCTTGGAGTCGTGTAATTTTGAGGCTGGTTTGTATTGTTCATCTATCCCAGCCTCATTTTATAGAAGAGAAAGTAATTTATCCTTTCTCTGCTCCTATTCCTAGCTCTCTGCTTATTCACAAGAAAGGACTGAGACATGTTTGGTGTTTAAGCTATGTAGGGAGACTATAATGCATGTTCACTTGTATAGATTGAGTTGTGTTTTATGTTCCTTGTACATAATTCAAAAATCAGATGACTTGTTGATGGTTTGCTTCTCTCAGAAGAAGATGCCAGTGGCCTGGAGCTTTGCCTAGAAACCAGGTTTCTTTGTCTATACCCATAGCTCCCAGGAGGGTAAGACAGACTGACTTTCATGGAGTCAGTTCTGCGCTTATGTGCATTAGCTCAGCCATCATATTAGAAGCTCGAAATAAGCTGGTGTGGTGCAATTGAGGCAGAGAGGCTCGGTACTGTGGCCAGTGTTGCAGAGGAGATTCTCACACCCTGGGTTTTAGCTGACTCCATAGTCCTGCCTCTTCTCTCCACACCCAGGTTGATTTCCCGGCCGCACACTGAGAGTATGCGGTAGATCCCTATTCCCGGTTTTGCCTAAAGACTTCGAGACCCTTGTCTCTGGTATTATTGTAACCTCAGAATTTTTGACCAGAAGCAAGTGGGCAGAGGTAATGTGCAGACTTGAATTTGCTCAGTAAATATCAACTCTGTGTGCCGGGTACTAGAGCAGAACCCTGCCCCCGTGGGGCCTCCCTGTCTCCCTCACCTGCCGTTATCACCGCCTAGGTGCTGCCACGAGCTTTTCTCAAAATACCGATGAGTTTCTGCACTGAGAAGATCGATCAGTTGTGTCTCGTC